ATTAGAATAGTTTTGCGAAAAAAGAAATTGGAATTCTGAATAGAATTTAATTATATGAAGTAATGAATCCTATTTTTTATTATTTTAAAATGATGCTTATCATTAGGTTTAGCATAAACCACATGAAAATTTTGATGTAAATTGTTTAATTCTAGCAGTAAAATCAGGATGTTTTATGAAAGATAGACTTAGTTTTAATTCAAATTTCTGATAGAATTACAGGTTTTGTATATATTAATGTTAAAAATATTTTTTTACTATTTTATAATAGTTTTGATAATATTTCAATTTATAGAGTAAGTGCAATTAATCAATGAAAAGAGAGTAATTTAGTATTAAGTCTTCTGTAACTTATACAAAGTTCAGATCTTAATTCAATTAAACATTTATAAGATGTTTTAGAAGAAAAGTTTAAGTATACAAATCTCATCAAATTAAATTTAAAATTTTAGTAAATTTGGTTGAAAGTATATTATAAAGGATTCAAGCTGTAATAGATAATTATGATAATCTAACTAGATACTAATAATATAAATAAAAATATGAATAATAAAATATCAAAATTGGTTATAATTTAAATGATCAGTAAATGATTACAGATCAAACAACTTCTTCTTTTTCAAATTCATAAGTTTTTTCAAATAATATTAACAAAGTTATAAAGTCTTTATTTTCATTTACTAGTAAATTATCTTACAATTTTAATTTTTTAATTTTATTAATATGATTTAAAGAAAACTTATAAATTTAAAAAAATTTAAGAAAAAAGAAGTTTGATTACAACTAAAAAAAAATGTACTATTTACTATAATAATTTATTATGAAACTTTTGTTTATTAAATTTAGACTTTAAAATATTTAATTATATAAAGTACTAGATAACTTAATATCATTTTGATCTATATAGTTAATTGTATACTTTAATATGATATTGATGATAAATTATATTATATAAAATTTTGTGACATTTTTGAAGGTTATGCAAGAAAAATCTATTTAATACTAACTGCAGAAAAGTATATAATGACATATAACTTTTTCTGCATAACTTTCAAAAAATATCATAAAATGATCAGCATTATGGCAATTGGTTAAAATTAATTATAACATATATATAACATATAGTAATAATAAATAAATTTTAATTACTAAAAAAGTTCTTCTCTAATTCTAACACTACATCTTTTATTTCTTTATTGCATTAAACAACTTGAGTATAGTATAAAACATTTATCCTATTAGATTTACTCCTTTTATCAAAGACTTTTCTAACTAACCTGTTTATATATTTATCTAGTATCTAATTATGAATGACAATAGGATAGGAAAAAGTATAATTTTTTATTGTATTTGTTTGTAGAATTTAAAGAACCGTTGCTAACTGAGAAATGAGAGTCTGCCATCCAGTACATAGGCGTGCAGTACCAATTGTTAACCTTCTAAGAAATGATGGTCTATCTGACACAATGGATGTGCAACTCCCTTTAGATTTTCTGAAGTGAATGCCTTTTATTTGCATAACGTTGCCAACCTTCTAAGAAATGAGAGTCTGCCGTCTGGTACATGAATGTGTAGTATCTCTCATCTTCATAACGTGTATCTGTTATTAGCCTTCTTAAATCTACTGTTCTCATACCTAAATGAGGTAGAAATGAGTGAAGAGAAACGTTTTAAAGGGTAGTATATCTACGTTATAGTTATTTGTCACTTCTTTTTACCTACGTTATTAATATATTAACAATATTTTTATATTAACCATTAATATGTCTACCTCAACATTCTTATTAGTAGAAAATTTTGTTCCATTATACAACTTTTTAAGAACCAGTTCCCTAGATAAAATTACCACTTCTAATGTAATTACATAACAATGGAATTGTTTCAAAATTCAAATGGAGCAAGAAGATTTTAACTGCCTCATAAAAATTTTAAAAGAGATGAAAAGTGAAATCAATGATAAAGGATGTAAACAGCATAATTTATATCACTTTAATCTTTATATAATAGCAAATAAAATGATGAATATGACGTTTAAACATTAATAAGTATAATGTGATTGAAAAAGTGACATATTGTTAGTGAGAATCTCTTTAATTATATTTATTATGATGATTTATGACACTAATGCTGGCTATTTCTGATTAGGTGAGTATTTACGCAAAAAAATGATAATGTTTCATTGAATTTTATTAACCCATTCTTATTTTTATAGATGCAATTTATTAGGAATGAACTGTTATCATTAAAATATATGGGATTCTTACGAGAAAAATTTGAAGAGAGTAAATTGAAAAACTTTAGTCTTAAATAGTATAGCAATTTTAAAAGATAAAATCAAGGTAATCAATTATTTATTATTTGAATTTTTTGTAAAACTAACCCTCCTTTTGATTCATTAGAAGAAACATACACCACTATATGAACATATTTTTACAAAAATAAGCAATATAGATGTCGATAAATTATTAAATAATGACTTGTTATGTATTGGAGTAATCGATCTTAACTCAGATAAATATAATATTCTGGAAAGTGATTACAAATCTCTTGTTATACATATTAATATTTTTATTTTTCTTTACGAAGTAGATATTATTAGTTCTGAGATCAGAGTAACTAATAAGATTTTTGTATGGGATCTTGTATCGGTAGAATTAGCATGGCTAAAGATAATTACGTATTATATATTAATCTTAATAGAGTGAAAAGGCTAATATAAGAAATTTGAGCAAAGATGTCATAGTAAAAGAGTGAGCCCAATTTGTAGAACCAACAAAGTCTAATGCTTGTGAAATATGAAAACGATTATGTGAAACAGGAAGCATGTTGCAAATCATTCTATTGTCTGTTATGCATTTTCTTTAAAATCTACAATATTGGTAATATTGAGAAGTATGTCAATTGCAAGATAAGATAAGAATTCTGAATGACGCTGCTATAATATATTCCAGGTATTTTCTGAAATATTACCCATACGAATTTCTTCTAACATATGAAAAAATCTCATATCTGCCTACTGACATTGTAAGATTTTTAGAAAAAAAGGATAGAATAAACACCAAGCAGTAATTTGAAATATGTGTTGTCTAGTTACAGGGGGAAGTTGGGCAAGGTTACCAACTACTATAACATTTATATCACCAATAACAATAGCATTACTATGAAGAGATGCAAAGATATCAGAAATAAAATCAAATAATTCTGCAGAAGTCATAGAAATCTTATTGATAATAAGGTATCTACAGTTTTGTGTAAAAACTACCTGAAGATGATATGATATGTATTTTGAATAGCTACTCTAGTTGGAGTTAATAGAAGGTATTTTGAACGTCTTTGATTAAGCATGTTGATGATTAAATTAATAATATAAGACTTTTCTGTGCCTTCTGATCCTATAATAAAATAATAAGGCCAATATCTTTTGCGAATTAGATCATGTCTACGTCTGAACATAATCTATCATGGTATATATATGCTAAATTTCTATCTTTTTTTAGTAATAGTAACGAACTTATCTGTGTTTTTACCATGATTGACTGCCTATTGCTTGAGACATTTTTCTTATTCTTAGAAAATATATTCAGAGGATTATATTTTTGATTAAGTACTGGCTTCTTCATTATTGGTCTCAGACTCATTGTTAATAGGTAAGTCAGGAGATAGTTTAACTTCTTTATTGCTAGATTCAATAATTTCTGAAGGTTTGGGTTTATCGTCTACAGGTTTTACACATTTGATCTCTGGAGTCATAGATATATCAATAGACTTAGATGACGAAGTAACTGAACTTTTATTTGTTATAGAATCGAAAAGATCCTGGGTTATATTAGTAATAGTAGGGGCAGATACTATTTTCTTACCTTTTTTGATTCAATTTGTAATTAATGGAATAGGATCTATTTTTTTCTGGTTGAGGATTTACAATTTCAGATATGTTAAATACAGAGATATCTTTGGATACGTTAAAGAATGTCTCAGCTTGAGGTGTATCAGAAAATTCCTACTGATTTATGTAACTTAACTACAATCTTGAATTGAACAAGAATATACTATTATTCTCTTTTTCCATTACCTGCCCATTTGTTTTCAATGTTAATCTGTGTAAATTTTTACCTAATATATTATTACTAAATGGTTTCTTACCATTAGCTTCACACTATATCTGATCGAGTGGGATTGAGAAGATGTATCAGTATTATATCTATTTTCATTTTAGTATTGGAAATATCTGTGGGTCCTAATTTGAAAGATCATGATTAAGAAAATATAATATAACTATCCCTATTGCATTTGGATGTTCTATATGAGCATTTCTTATATCTATTTTAAGTAGGGCATTCTGATTGCATCTTTTAAATGAATAGATTCAAGACTTTTACATTCTATAGACACTTTTGATTCCATTATAAGGGATTTGAGACGATCATTAAATTTATGCTATTTTCCACTAGATATACTGGTTTCATTTATAACTACTAACTTTTTACCTTGAATAAGACTGTTGAATTTTCCAAGAATTTTCCCTAGATCAGATGTTGTATAATAGAGCTTTGGTTCTAAGACTTTATCATCAATAAAATTAATGATAATATTTTTTCTGCATTGTTAAAGAGTAGACTTTAATATGTAAATTGAATGAGATTTATTTTCTATTTTTGTATTAAATATGCCTATCAGTTCCAAATGTAATTGTTAAGCTTTTCATTTTCATCACAGATTATATTTTTTACATGCTAAAGAATAGGATCTCATAATTTCTTTATTAATTTCTAATACTGGTGTATCTGTAAATCTCAGAAAAAGATTAAGAAATTTGTTTTTTTTTTTTTTTTTTTTTTTTGTTTTTATGGTACATCACTTCAAAGATAAAGGTTGAAGAAGACTACAATGTCTAACCTGCCTTTCTTCTTAGGTCTCATGTGAATGAACAGCATGCAATCTCGTTACTTACACCTACCTATGCAGGTTGCTATCAGTGTATAGTCTTACAGTCAACTGGCTTTGACCCCAGTTTTCTGTATCAACTGACCCCTAAATGGATTTTTACTGGTTACCAGAATTGGATAGAGGGCTTACTTTAGCCACAGTGATTGACGCACTGTTTTTACTAAACACTTATAGGATTTTACCCTATTGTTAACTTCTGAGATCAAGGGATCAGATTCTTTATATGAATAGTAGCTTTGTACCTATAGCGTCAAACTCACCCAGGAATTGAACCTGGCCTCTAACCCTAATGGTAACAAGATCTGGTCCACAGCTGCGACGTGCAAGTCAGTCTGTAGTACACTCCAGATCTACTAATGACTGATTTGCCACTTCTTTACTTGTGTAAGGGCCCCTGAGATTTGAAGACGTGAGACAGTATCCATTACAGACCTATCAGCGAAGGTTAAGTTTCTGTTGATCCCTGACTTCATTTGCATCCACTTGTTCTTCAAACCCAGTATTTAGGTATGATAAACGTTGATCGATAGATTGATCAACCAGTTTCTAATGCATATTAGTCTATACGTCTACATGTTCAGTTACATATGAAATTTTTATGAAAATCATCTAGTTTTATGCCTCAGCTAAGGCCTGAACTTATAGTTATTGCAGTGTAACTCACAATAGAAGCTCAGTTGTTATCAACTGAACTAGGGACGCTGATCTCCTAAGAAATTTGAATTGATTTTCCTCCAAATTTGATTATATTAATCTCATAACTAGCAAGTTCTAGTTTAGATACAAATTTAAAGGTAAGTTTACTTACTATCTTCATCTTCATCTTCAACTTTAAATATCCAAAACTTTTTACCTCTATCGATATATGCAATTATTGCTTGAATAACTTTGTAAACTTTATTACAGGTATACTTTTCTTCTGATGAGTATATGTCAATTAAGTCATCTCATATAAAATGATCATTTGAATCTGTTATTTTAGGTTGGCTTATTTTTTCTGAAACTGAAAGGCTCTCTTCTTGTTCCAAAGTTTTTCTTTAATGGTCAACTTTATTAAAGATTTTTTAGATTAGAGTTCCGAATAAATCGAGTTATGTCAAATTTAAAAACTAACTCTATTCGAATCATTTTTTTTCAAGTTGAGTCGAATCAAGTTTATTTTATAAAATCTTTCAATTTGATTTGATTCAAATTATATAAATTTTAAATTTGACTCAATTTGACTCAATTTGAGTTTAACTCGACTCAAGTTAAGTCAAGTTCAAATCAAGTTTTGAGTCAAAATTTAATTAACTTATAAATATTTAAATAAAAAAAAAATTTATTTTAAATTATATTATATTTAAGTTTTATATATTATTTTATTTAAATCAAAATCATAAAAAAAAAAATAAAACAAAATTAATTATTTTAAAAAAAGCATTAAAAATAAAAAAAAAATATTTTTTTTTAAAAATAATTTTTCACCAAGTTTTAGAATTTCAGACTTCTATGATATCAGTAAGGATGTTAGTAAACATTCTCAAAGAAGCCTATCTAATCTAAGAAGAAGGAATTCACTAACCAATAGGTTCTCAAGATCCAAAGAAAGCTGATTCTAAAAAAAGAGAAGAAAAAGAACGTTAGTAAACATTTTTAAAGAAGCCTACCCAATCTAAGAAGAACAAGAAAAAGAAATTAATTCACTTACCGGTAAGTTCCTAAGATCTAAAGAAAGCCAGTCCTAAAAAAGAAAAGCAAAAAAGAATGTTAGTAATATTCTCAAAGAAGCCCATCTAATCCAAATAGAAGGGAATTAACTCACCAGTAATTCCTAAGATTCAAAGAAGGCTAGTCCTAAAAAAGAGAAGCAAAGAGAATATTAGTAACATTCTCAAAGAAGCCCATCCCAACCCAAGAAGAAGGGAATTCACTTACCGATAATTCTCAAGATTCAAAAAAGGCTAATCCTAAAAAAGAGAAGAAAATATTAGTAACATTTTCAAAGAAGCCCACCCAACCCAAAAAAAAGGAAACACACTTACCGGTAAGTTTTTAAAGCAATTTCTAAAAAATAAAATAAATTAAAAAAAAAGACAATTAATAAATAAAATAAAAAAAAATTAACTGGTTTTAATTGATCAAAAAGGAATTACTAACATTGCAAAGGCAGGAAAAAAATGGCAGTAAATCAGACATGACAAGATTTATCTTATGTTGGGACTGCTTATGGTTTTGTTGGAATACTAACAATTTCTAAAAGAGAAGGGAATAATATTAAAAAATAATAAAAACTAGGGTTAGAAAATAATTAAAAAAAACAAAAATTATAATAAAAAAAAATATTTTAAAGGGTAGGTGAAAAAATAAAAATAAAATAAAATAAAAAAAGTGGAAGTGTAAGAATTAAAAATTAAATAAAAAAAAGAATTGATTGAAAGAAAAAAAAAGGAAAATAAATTGATTGATAAATCAATTAATTTAAAATATACCAGTTTATTTATTTTTAAAAAGTAAGATTCGCTTATATAACATCAGATCAATCTATTTTTGTTAATAATTAGTTAGTTTAGTAATCTTTTTTCGTTAGTCTTAAAGAATTAAATGATTAATAATTAATTTATACTTTTTTTATATAACTAATTATTTTTTTTTAGAATTTCAGGCTACCATGATATCAGTTCGGTAAGGGCATTTAGAGATTACTAATTATTTTTTTTCTAGAATTTCAAGCTGCTGCAGTATCAGTTCAGTAAAGGCATTTAGAGATTACAAATTATTTTTTTTTTTAGAATTTTGGACTGCTACGGTATCAGTTTGGTAGGGCATTTATAAATTATTATACTAAATAGTAAAATCAATTTTTTCAAAAATTTTTATTTAAAGACTTAATTCATAATTTATTTGAATAGAGTCTAAAGTATAGGAATAATCTTTTTATGGTTTTAGGATCAGATTATTTCTTTTATGCAAGCTCTTTTATATAAATAGATGCAATTTTTAGTGAAATAAAGCTGAATTTTGTATTTATTTTATTTTTTTCTTTTCTTAATACAATTTATAGTGAGATAAAGCTATAAATTTGTATTTTTTTTTTTAAAACAATTTTTTTTTTAAAAATCAACATTATGACTACTCAATTAATTAGAATTAATAAAAATAAATCTTCTTTAGCTTTAATGAAAGCAAGAGTAATTCTAAATTATTTATACCTTTTAATAAATCCTTTACTTAATAAACGAATGAAAATAATATCATCATGTAATAATGGTAATTTAAGTGAGCTTTTTACTTCTATTTTTGTCTCTACCTCTGCCTCTACATATACCTCAAACTCTGCTTCTACCTCTGCATCTATTTTTACCTATACATTTGTTATTACAGATAAAAATAATCAAAAAATAATAAAAAAATATGAACAAAAATTAAAGAATTAGACATTGGATTTGTAATTCCTTTAAACGTTGAAAATAATATAAAAGGATTACAAAATTTAATTTCAAAATATGATAATATTAAAAAATATCCTATCAAAAATTATTTTAAAATAAATAATAACACTAAAAATTGTTTTATTTATCAATTTATAAATAATGAATTATACGTGTTTAAGTTTAATTATCGAAAACTTTTTTAATAAAAAAAGTTTCTTTTCAGATAAAGAAATCAAATATTTAAAAAACTTAATACTGAACTTAATTATATTACAAATAATTTTAAAAATATAATTAAAATTTTATTTTCTAACGATAAAAATTCATGTCATACAAACATAATATATAAAGGTTACATGACAATAAAATGATATAATAATTATATATTAC